TACTAATCCTATTCCATGTGCCTCTGGAACTTCCTTGGGGAAATGGGAACCTATGAGAAAGTCTAAGACATCGATAAAGATTGTGATAAGTTTCAAAACTTTTGGGAATGGTGTCAGATGACAAAGCTACCAAACATGTAGGGTTTCAACAGAATGCGGGGGAAATGTGGTAAAATTTCAAACTGCTTTGGAAGCCGGATGAGCAAGACTTGGACGAACGTCAGGACTTTTGTGAGCCAAGCTCTTATCCCTTAAATAGCTTTGAAGAGCTGATAGAATGATGACAATTATGATGATGATCCATTTCTTAAGAAAATAAGATTTCTTTTGTGACCTAAATGAACTGGAAGATTTCAATTGGGCAAAAGAAGGGGACGGGCCTACTGAGCAAAACTAGAAATTAGAACTGCAGACTATTTTAGTTAAATTATGAAATTTCATAGAAAAAAATAGTTTGTTGAAGTTGTAAGGAATTCTCAGAGCAACTCGATTGTATTCTTGTTTGTGTTCAAAACCATATTCCCATCATGGTCACTTTTCGGTTCCTTCATCTTTACCCAGTCCAATCCCCTGCCATGCAGGAAAAGCACAATCAAAACACCATGACAGATGACCATCCATCCTCTGTTTAAAAGCCTCCACAGAGGAAGCTTCCACCACACTCTGAAGAGGAGAGTTCCACTGTTGAACAGTTTACTGTGAGGAAGGACTTCTTAATGTCCAGGTGGAATCTCTTTTCCTGTAATTTGAACCCATTGCTCTGAGTCCTAGGGCCCTTCTACACATGACTGAAGCCCAGGAGGAACTGAGATATTAAATCCCAGTTCATTCCAGGATTTAGTTCCCACACCCAAACCAAACCCCACCCTACATCCATCCACCCCCCAGCTACACATTTTCCACCCCCACAACTGATCTGAAGAGCCTTCCAGCTATGTAGCCCCTTCAGGAGAGAGCTCTTGGCATGTGAAAATGACACATCAGGAAGTGAGGGGAGAGGGGTAATGTGTGATTTTCACACACCAGGAGCTCACTCTGAGGGGGGGGGCTGCACTGCCAGTTTCTTTGGGGGGGAGATGGGCTGGGGGGAAGGGTGGGGCACCATCCTATTCCTTTGGGCTCATAGAGCATGAAGAACTAGGATCGCTGTGGGGATTGACCCCCAGGATTGTGAAAGCAATCCCAGGAATAAATCCCCAAAGGGCCCTTACCTGGAAAGATCTGCACCTTAGCTTTCTATGTGTTAAGTGAATCCGGAGCAAACTGGGGAAATCCTAGTTATCTCTGGATTAATTTGTTTTGCCTGAGGTGTTTTCCAGATAAAACTGAGTCAGGTGTCATGTTTTGGGCCTGTCTGGAAGGGTCCCTAGTCTCCAGAAAACAAGCCTGCTCCTTATGACATCCTTCCAAATATTTAAACAAGGCTATCATGACTCCTCTCAGCCTTCTCTTCTGCCGGAGAAATACACCCAGCTCTTTAAGTCGCTCCTCAGAGGGCATGGTTTCCAATCCTTTGATCATTTTGGACAGCCTCCTTTGAAAAACTCCAGCTTGTCAATATCCTTCTTGAATTGTGGTGCAATGGAAAAGTAATGGCAATGCAACACATAAAATCACTGTCACCCAACTGAGTAGCAGGAAGAGTTCAGTTTTCAAACTCTGTGATGGAATCAGCTGTTTAAAACATAATTTCCCAAGCTCAACTGAAGATTCACCAACAGCTTGTATTTATTTCTATCTAGGGATGCAATTGATATTTTAAAATATTCAGAAGTAATAAAAAACAAACAAAGAAACTGTGTCTCTTAAGTGTCAGCAAAGGAAACATCATGTTCTATGCAGAAAATGAAACTTTTGTACTGAATTAGCATTTCCTGGTCAGAAAAAGTTGTCTTCTGGGCAACAAAGAACAAAAGAAAAAGAAAGCCATGTGTAAATTTTGCACAAACTAGTTCCCAAACCACAAAGCATCTTTGAACACATTTTTTCCAAGCATTTCTTGCATAAGAATGGACAATGTTAAACTTACTCATTACTTCTCTGAGGATGAAATTATCAAAGACTTCTTTGTGCTTTTATGAATAATTGCTGCAACAAAAAAGTTCGAAAGCTTCATCCCATCTCATGACAGAATAGGAAGTGATGGAGCAAACTCCTCAAAAGTCTAGCCTAACCTATGTCCTGCTGTGGGGCAGCCTTTCTGGCTGTTTCTCAATTTTACAAGTCCGTCCTATCCAAACCAGGCTCCATCTGCAAAAGCTGGAAAGCCTGCAAGAAAGAGACCTCCTGCTTTCCAGGCTGCTGTGTGAATAATTTGCTCTGCTGCTGGCTTTATCCAGACCCACCTTGCTTTTCTGCCCTTTTGACTGGTGAACACAGTCCATAAGAAAGACAAGGAATGCAAAAAAAAAAAAAAAAACCCTGTAAATCTCATTCAACTAGGAAATTATTGCAGACTTTTCCATGTATATTTCGAATTAAGCATCACTGCATTGAATGGGACTGGCCACCTCTTCACACGGGGCATTTTTGCCCTGTTTTGCCGCTTTGTTGCATGGCAAGGATGGGGCTTGCCATGAACCATTACATGATGCATGGCAGGTCTTGGCCATATTCTTTCCAAAGTGGGATGGAAATGCCAAAAGGCACTTTTTCCACCACTACAGGTAGGAAAATGTAGTTTGGGTAGCTCCGATGGAGCTACCCGCACTTTCCTCCCCTTTTCCCTGTATGATGGAGGAAAGGGTGGTGAGGCAACATGCATTGCCACGCATTGCTGCCCCTTTTCCCATCTGATGGAGACAGGAACAGGGTCAACACACCCTGTTTCACCGCCATCATATAATGGGAAGGAAGGAGGGCATGCAGGGTACCCCACTCCGCGTGCCTTCCCTTTCAATGGTGTTTGCCGGCACAATGGCATAACCAGAAAGGGCCATGTGAAGAGGTCCTTATTCTAAGGAAAGTATGTGATGAATTTGTTATTTGCTGTTGTGCACCAATTGGTCAGGGCTCAATTTAAAATGACCCTAGAGCAAACCAGTCCGAGGATTATCTTGTCAAGATTTGTTTAGAAAGGGTTTGCCATTGCCTTTCTCTTGGACTGTGAGAGGGTGATTTGCCCCAGGTCACCCAGTAAGTTTCCATGGCTGAATAGGTATTAATTGCTGGAGTCATATTAGTCCAGCACTCAAACCTCTACCATACTGGCTCTCTAGAGCGGTTTACACAAAGGGAATATATTTCTGGTGCAAGACAATAAATATGAAAATTTTGTGCAAATTTTTATTTCTCTAGGAGTGAAAGTCTAGAAGTCTAAAGCATTCATTCAATTCCACTGGCCAACAAACATTTTGGTGCCTCAAATGTCAACCCTGTTTCTGGGTCTATTTTACCTGCTGATTCCAAAAATAACATCAGTTTCCCCCCTATCAGCTCTAGCATTTGAAACACAGTATATATACCATGTAGCAGTCTTAATCTGCACTCACCCTTGGAAAATCATGATAACCATACCCAAGATACAAGAGTTGATTAGGTCTAGCCAATGCAGTTTTCTAAATCATCACCTCCAAACCCCTGCAAAATAGGCCTAAAAACCAAGATACCAGGAAAAGGGGATTTTTTTGTTGTGTCTCAGAAGGATCTGTGACCCAAAAATATGACCCACTGATCGAGAGAGCCACACTTGCCATCCTAACTCTCATGCTTAAATTAAATTATCTTTCTAGTCCTTTTTTTTAATCCAAAGTGCTGTCTTTCGTGCAGGAAATGTCACACCCCAAACAAATATAAACAGGTGTTGTAAAGAGAGCACTTTCCCTGCTACAGATTGAGAATCCCTTATCTGGAATTCCAATATCTGAAATTCTCTGAAATCCAAAACTGTCTACATATATTGAGATAGCGACACCTTTGTTTTCAGGTAGTTGATCTTACACAAACGTTGTTGTATATTGTATAAAATATTGTATAAAATTACACTATGTAACAAAATTTGACCAAAAAAAGTTTTCTGTTCCTTGTTTGAAAGTGTTACTTTTTGTTTAATTGTGTGGAGCTTACATTGAAAGTAGTTGTTATCCTCCAGAAAAATTCATTTTGGTTGCTGCCACAAACTATGCTGAATTGGATGAGACTCTCTGAGAGATTCATTGAGAAACTATAGCAAAATTTGCTGCAGGATGTCCCACAAAAACAAAGTTTTTGCAATTTAATTAACTTTCTCCATGCTTTAATGATAGAACCAATTAGGAAAAGACATATATAACCCAGGAACAAAAAATGTATTGCATAGTTTTAACTTTAGGTTATATGTATAATAAGGTGTAAATGAAACAAATTAATTTTATGTTTAAATTTGGGTCTCATCTCAAAAAAAAAATCTCATTATGTACATATATGCAAATACAGGCATTCAAAAACCTGAAGAAAAAAAATCTAAAATTCCAAACACTTTTGGTCCCAGGCATTTCAGATAAGGGATACTCAGCCTGTAATAAATTCTCTAAGCTTAAAACAGCTGAGGTACAGCTAGCATCTTATAACCTACAACCTTGGGACAAAGCACCAAAGAGTCCACGCTGTAGCCACATCATCACAGTTTATCTTTTTGATTAATAACAGAGGCACCATAAAAGGTCGTAGCAACAACCACGAGCGCTTCCTGATCTTTCCCTGACTGGGTTTGGGGCAGGGGTCAGCCCGACAGACCCCTGTCAATTAGGACTGGTGAAGAAAACATCATCTGGCATTCAGGCAACTGCCAAGAGTCTCTGTGCCTCAGGGTGGTGATGGGGAGGGGGATGAGGGAAGGATACGGGGTGGAGTCGAGTGAGGGGAGAAGAGGAAAGGCAATCTGGAACCCATAAGCTCCCTTGATGTTTGCATTATGGTGAACGGTTGTCTTGGCCTGAGCATAGCCACTCCCCTTAAATGCCTCGCCCTATCCGTAAAGGGCAGTAACAAACTTTTTAACAAGGTCCCTCCTCTCTTTTAGCCCTCAAGGAGGTGGTGGGAAGGGTGTGGGGGTGGAGTGAAGGGAAAGGAGGGTGAATAAGCAAATCCTTGAAGGTAGAAGGAACTCAGAGAAGCCTCTTTGAAAACCAAAGACAGGGCTAGTGGTTGCACTTTGCTCCAAACCCCAAAGGTTATCCTCTGATTCGGATGCACTGTGGCCTGTTAGGTCCAGGTCTCCAGTGCCTGAGCCAAGTGGGAAGGGAAGTCGATTTGGAGACGATGAAAGAGGAGAGCTTGTGCCCCGACTCTCCTGAGGACAGCTTGGAGACCAGTGAGGAAGAAAGCGAGAAGATGCCAAAGAAGGGCCTCCGCAAGAGAAGCCAGCTGGGCAAGCCCTCCTCCTTGGCCCCATCTGCCCTTCCCGAGTGCAGCACCCCCTCTCCACAGGGCAAGCGCAGCAAGCGGAGCCCTGTTCCCCAGACCTTTGAGGACATGCACACACAGAGGGTGATTGCCAATGTGCGAGAACGCCAGCGCACCCAGTCCCTGAATGATGCCTTTGCTGAGCTGCGCAAGATCATCCCCACCCTGCCCTCGGACAAGCTCAGCAAGATCCAGACCCTCAAGCTGGCCTCCCGCTACATCGACTTCCTCTACCAGGTCCTGCAGAGCGATGAGCTGGACCACAAGATCTCCAGCTGCAACTACCTGGCTCACGAGCGGCTCAGTTATGCCTTCTCAGTCTGGAGGATGGAAGGGGCCTGGTCCATGTCAGCATCCCATTGAGATACTCAGCCAGAAGGTAAATCTTTTGACTACAACGTCATCTTCTCACTCTCTGGCCAATTTTAAGCTTAAGAACATAGTTGCATGTGTTGGATGGGAATTAGCTATAAATTTTGTTCTTTTTGGTAGGATGAAACATCTAATGACTCTTTTCCTCTTTTATAAAGACTGACTTCCAGCATGTGCCGAATGTCATTCTGTTTGTGTTCAATCATCGCGCAACCAACTGACTGCTAGCCAGAATGATAAATATATGGGCTTCCAGGGTGTCTTCAGATCCTGGTAGCACTGGGATTCATAAAGACAACTAGTTTTCAATCTTAAAGAGAGAGAAATGAAAATGGTACACTCAAAGGCATTGATGCTGCTGCAGGTCTGCATACACCGTTCTTTTGCCTGACTGTCATTGATTATCAAAGCCTGCTTAGTAGGAATTTATTGCAGTATGAATGAAGATTTAGATCACACTAGAGATAAATGCCATCTCTCTCCTATTGCCTATCGAGTCCTTTTGGAGAGGAGGCGGGATATGATTAAAGTTTTATTGTTATTTTTTATTATTGCCTTTTCCCTCCTGTTGTTCCACAAGAACTCACAAGCACATGTCTTCAAACTAAAATTGTCCATCTTTAAAGCTCTTGTTGAAGATGAAAGCTGTACACAGGAAAATAAACCCAATTCAGAAACAGAACAAAATATTTATCGATTGGAAATTTTAAAAACTTACTACTGATAAGAGTTTACTGCTTTCTTGCCACATGGTGATCACAATAGGGTGATATTGTGGCAGGAAAACATTAAACTCTCATGAGATCAAAGTTTTTTAAAAATCTAAATTTGTCTGTTTTAACTCTTTGTAGCTGAGCTGTCGAAAGATTTTAGCTGCTGGTTGAAACATTTCTAATATTTTGTTGTGTTTCATTCCCTTGTAACTTGAGTTATATGTGGATTTTAGCATCAAATCCAACTACACATTTTAGAAAGATAGCGAGACTGGCTTTATCTTGGATATGTTTTTTCCATAACCAACACCTTTTTCTTTTCTCTTTTCTTCCTTTTTTCATCAACCTGAGATAAACCTAAGTATATCTTCTTTAGCAAATTTCATCTAACTGTCATATACTTTTACAGATTCCCCTAAAGAAGGCTAAACAGAATTTTCACACATGAAGCATTGGGTTAGTCTGCTTCCAAAAGAAATGCAAAAAAACTAGGTTCAGGAAAGGATACATGTGATTCAAGCCCCTAACTTGAAGATCCTGGTTTATTTTGAACAGCATATAACATAACTACATGATATAAAAAGCAAGACTGAGGTTCAAAGTTACTTCATGCTATCACTTGCAAAGGCATCCTGATAAGGAAAGATATGCAAAATCTTTCACCCATTCCTGTGAGACAAGGCACCATTATGCTTATTCTACTTGTGTGAACCTGAGGCTGATAACAATGTGCTATCAATATCCTGATTGAGTACACCAATGCCTTCTGTCTTAGCGTCCTTCCACACAGCCCTATATCCCAGAATATCAAGTCAGAAAATGCCACAATATCTGCTTTGAACTGGGTTATCTGAGTCCACACTCAGATAATGTGGGATGCCTTGATATTCTGGGATATAGGGATGTGTGGAAGGGTCCTAAAAATAAATGTACCCATCACTATGTAAGTAAGGTATGCCTCCTGATCCCATATACATAATAATGTTGATGATATTGCACACCACTCATAACTATACATGCTGTTAGGAAGGGATGCAGGGAATATAATTTCCTATAGCAAAACTAAGCCAAAGAGATGTTCTTGCTAGAAGTAGGAACAACTAGGATATTGCTTTCATCCCACTAGAATTAGATCACAATGATACAGGAAGATTTGTAAAAGTTGTGTTTAGCTCATAGGGAGGGATGCCGGGGTTCCATACGCCAGTTTCTACTTTTCTCTATAATTTTCTCTTTTTTTAAGAGGGCAAATTCCATGGCACATGTCCCAAAATAATGCCACTCTTGAATAATGCTCAGATTCATGTTTGTAGTGGTGATGACACATACATGAATACGTACAACAAGACATTGTGCAATCAAGTTACGTACATAATTGATGCATGGGGATTATACACATTGTATCTGGAAAAGATGGCTACACTTTTGAATGGGGCAGACAGTACCACGTTTAGCCTCAGTTCACAGTTCATATGTGCCAAACAGTAGTGCCAAACCTCACTATCTCTGAGGATGCTTGCCATAGATGCAGGCGAAACGTCAGGAGAAATATTGCCTCCAGAACATGGCCATATAGCCCGGAAAAACCTACAAAACCCAGTAGTGTTTTTTATTAGTACTTCAAAAATGTATTTGCCATGTCACTACAGAACTATAAGCAGAAATGCATTCCATTTCAGATGACATGCTGAGGAACTGATTGGTCTGATATGTCTTTGAGAACTTTGGAGAAAGGTCTGATGGGAAATAAATGGTTCTTCCTTCCCTTGAAACATAATGCAGCAACTGAGAAAGCCATATTTCTCTCTTCTATGCAATGTATAGAAGTCTATAGAGGTTGCATACACAGATGAATCGGCCTGCCACAATAATGAACTATGATGATCCAAAAATCTACAATTAGAAAAGCTTAGTCCTGCAGCCAGGCTATATTATGCATATTAAATAAAATGTGACATGGCAAGTAAGACAAGCAAAATAACAGAAAGATAGCAATTTTTTTGAGATAGCATGGTTGCAATTTATTTATTCTATAAATCAAACTAATGTGTGAAAAAGACATCTTTCACTGACCCACAGATCTATTTGGAAAAGACTAGTACAACAGAACAACTACGGTAATTACAAATGGATTCATTTTGCATTAAGAGAGAATGAGAGAGAGATGAGGGAAAGAAAGAGGTGTGAATGGTTTTCCTTATTTTGTATGACTTGGTTTGTACCATTTATTTTGCACAAGTCTTTCTACTTTCACCGTGAGAACTATCATAGCGCAGCAAAACCCAGTTTTCCAAGACCCACAACCAGATTTCTTTTCAACAATGAGGACTAGAAACTTGCCAGAGGGGAACGGGGTGCAGATCAATTGCACATCATGTTTTAGCATACAAAAATATCTCAGCTTCAATCTCTGGAATCTTTGGATAGGGCTAGAAGAGACTTCTGCTTGAAATACTGGAGGACTTTTGACATTCAGAGCTGACAGTACTGAACTGGATACATCAATCTTCTGCCAGTGTATGGAAGGAGCTTCTAGTGCAGGGGTGTCAAGCTCATTTCCACCAAGGGCCACATCAGCCTTATGATTGCCTTCAAAAGGCTGTTTATAATTGTAAGACTGTATAAATATAACAATGTTGCCCTGGCATTGACAGCTTTGCGGGCCACATAAAATGACATGTTGAGCCTGCAGACTTTGTGTTTGACACGTGTGATCTAATGTCTTATAAAAGAGATACTAAGACAAAATTTGTGATGCCATCTCCTAATAATAGGAAAGTTAATAGAAAATGTATGTGCATACGAATCACAATAGTCTCAAAGGCTGCGATCTCACTGAATTCATTTGGAGATATTAAATAACCAATTTGACCAATGTCTTCCCACAGTTGTTTCTGATTACAGACGTACAAATAGTTAAATAGGATTCTGAATCCTAGAAAAGGGGAACGAAAACAAATCCCAGCCAATCAATTGAAAATAATGTTCGCTGTGTATGTGTTCATTGAGATACGCCCTGAATCTCTTTCGGGGTGAGAAGGGCAGAATATAAATACTGTGAATTAATTAAAGAAATTGAATGAATTTGTCATAGAGCACTGAATGAGGCACATTACTGTTTCAGCCAAAAGGGATGATAAAATGCATCCCGTACGAGATCAATACAAGAATACAAAGATTCCAAAGATATAAAATAATACCTTTTTAAAATAATGCAGAAGAGAACAAAAAGGTAAAATCATTCCTTTGCCTCTTAGCACAATTACAAGGCTGCAAAAGGGGGAAGGAGATCAGCTTCTATTTCTGAATTTTTGCAGGAGTGTCCTGTCTGAAAGCCTGAATGCATCCCTAACCAAATTATTTCCTCTTAGTAAACAGCCAGTGGAAAGGACCTTTGGGTCTTTCTCCAGATGGAATTCCACACACCGGGGGCCAACCTGGAAAATGTCAAATCCGACTTCCGAAGGTAGCAGCACTCACAAAAGGCGGCACTCAAAGCCTCTAGGGTCACATAGACACACACTGAAACAATCTTCCTGCCTGGTGCATATTCTGTCCATTGCTTGAGTATGCAATGTGACTGGGCATTACAGGGCAATTAAACCGAAGCAAAAGGTGACCATTCTCCGGAATTGCTCCAGGCAGAGAGAGCAATGCCCAGAAAAAGGAGAGCCTTTCATACCTGGACTTGACTCTTGACCCCGGTGGCTATTTTCTCCCCATGGAAAATGAAAGCTCAAAGCCTTTTCCGATGCCCCTCATCTTTCCTTCATCATTTTTACTCATTTCCACATGTTGGAAGATTTATCCACTGCTCCAAAGGGAAGGGACAATGCAGGCCTAAGCAAAATTAGGAATTGAATTATTGATCAGTTCTGCTTTCTCCCTCATTCTCATCTTCTTAAAAAAACACTTAAAAATTACGAACAAATAGGTCAGTTTATTTATTTACTTACTTACTTATGTACCTTTCTCTACCCCGGGCGAACTCAAGGCGGCTAACAAATGGCACCAACACAATGCCTCAAAACATACAAAATTCACCTTAAATTGATTTGAATAAAAATTACGACACAATAAACATGATTAAAATACAATACATTCAAGGTTAAAGAACACACCATCTTTTATAGTCATTCCAATTTTCTACAAAATGTATCATGTTCACTCAGTAGCATTGACTAAATTCAAACAGCAACAGCTATTCTCAGTACCAAAGACATTGCACGTCTATCTAAGTAAAATCCCCAAAATGAGAAATCTTTAAAGAAAAAAAGGAATAGCAACCCTAGCTCTGCACTACTATCTGGGGTGAATA